CACACTGCACAAATGTAAAGGTTTTGCAACCTGTCATTTTTTCTAGACTCATAGAAAAAAATATGTGCAAGTCGAGAACCCTTAAGGAACCTTTATCTTTAGGAGTGCAGAGGATCGTGACCAGAAGTGGGAATTAACTTGCTCCACGTTTACATCACACATACACACTCGAGTCACGTTATGACCATCAGCAGTGTCCAGAGGAACGGCCGTGTGCAGCACGGACAGCAGCCAGACGGGCTGGGAGTGACTCAGTAAGGTCCTGGTAGGTTGTCACGGCTATCAGGAGCCAGGCTGACTGCAGTCTGACTCCACACACCCCGTCTCGTCTCCAGGCTTTTATTTTACTGTTCTGTTTAAAACATTCGGTTATGAAAAGGTACAAATACGAACTTTTCACCTGGAAAAACTTATTTAAGGTTCACAATCAGACCTTAAAACCACTGTTGGAGCTTTGAGGGAACATTTACACTGTTTGTACTGTGATGAACTGAAAATGTACCTGAACAGAACCTTTATTTCTAACAGTGTAGAGGGTCATTCTTCCATCACGGTGAGATTAAAGCACAGATGCTGTGTCTGTGTGTTATTTATTGTAATCCCACATTAACTAACAAAAAATCTATAATAATTCTTCTGTTTGAATTTTTCATTTAGTGATTTTTAGTCTTGTTGTTCATGTAAAACAGGTGTTACTTCACAGATGCTGATGTCTGTTTTTATTTAGCGCGAGTTATAGAAGTGCAGTGGACTTATCGTCCATCCTGTGTTCAGATTTAATTCAAATTCAGTCAAATACAAGTTTGGGCACGCCAGGTCAAACTTCACGTTGTTGATTTTCTAAGTGGAAATAAGTGAACAGCTGTGGTTCCCAAACTGTGGCACCTCAAATGACGTTGGAGGCATGGAAAAAAATTCTGACGTTCAAAGTTCACACTTAATTTAGTCTTCACTCTGTTCCATCAGCCCACAGTTACACAGATACTTTGCTGATACAGACGACACAAACAGCTCTGCAGCTCTGCCCTCCACTCACTGACTGCTGCACATGATAATAATATTTATACGCACCTTTCATACAGTAGAAATGCAGCTCACAGTGCTTCACAAGGAGAAAAAAGATCATAAAAATAAATAATAGAAATGCGACAGATTAAAGCAGTAGCAGAAAACGAGGATAGATCAAGGATATATTAATAATAATTAAAATGCAAAAGATAAAGGTATAAATAAAAATGCAATAAAGAACAAAGAAAGTAAAAGTAATATTACATTATAAACAAAGGAAACAATAAAAACTAGTTTAGCTCTAAAGTAAAGAAGCATGTTTTATCTGACTGAAGGAGTCTGACGGATGTTCCAGATCTCTGGTGCATAAAAACAGAACCTTTTTAAGCTTCATGTGTGGAATATGGAGAAGCAGCAGTGGATGATCTTGAAGCTGGATTTGGAACATCATCTATCAGCCCTGATGTAGGTGTTACAGCATTAACCCTTAGAAACCCAAAATTTTAGGGATTTTTTTTGGTAATTTTTGGGTCAATTACAATTATAAAGTATTCACATGTGACAGTCACACAGGCCATATGTTGTTATTTTCAGGAGACCCTGGGCTGCTCAGATATGCCATTGTTTGACACGTAAATGCTGACAGAAATTTGATATCTGTATGAATTTGGGTCATTGCTGATCAAAAATTTACCAAGCGCCTGCTAAATTTTGTATTTTTTTAATTAAAGAGATCTTGAAAACAAGTGGAATAGTAATTATCTTTTCAGAAGTTGATAGATAAGATAAGATAAAATAAGATAATCCTTTATTAATCCCACAACGGGGAAATTTGCGGTGTTACAGCAGCACAGAAGACAGAGCAGCAGGAAATATACAAACAATATTTAAATAGAATAAACAATAAAAAGTATAAAGATATGTATGTATATGTACAAAGATTATAAGAAAAATATACAAAGTATTAAATTTAAATTTAGAAATGTAGAAATGTATGTATTGTAGTGAGTATTGCACAGTGAATAAAATAGCAAATAAATAAACAGTAATAAATGGAGAAATATTGCACTTGACATAATTGCACATAATGGTGGTAAACATGTTGACAGTGATCCGCAGTGAATATACTACGCATGGTGGCTGAGATATTGCACACAGTAAAGTGCTGTGGCAGTGATGTTGAGAGTTCTTGCTTATGGAAAGTAATTGTAAACTACTGTCTACTGAGTGCCGTGACTGTTATAGAGTCTGACAGCGGCTGGGAGGAAGGACCTGCGGTATCTCTCCTTCACGCACCGCGGGTGCCGCAGCCGGGCACTGAAGGAGCTGCTCAGTGCTGTCAGAGAGCGGTGCATGGGGTGGGACAGGTTCTTCAGCATGTTTGTTAGCTTAGTCCTCATTCTCCTGTCCCCCACCACCTCCACTGGGTCAAGAGGACATCCCAGGACAGAGCTGGACTTCCTGATGATCTTATTCAGTCTCTTCCTGTCAGCAATGGAGATGCTGCTGCCCCAGCACACCACTCCATAAAAAATGGCTGATGCTATTGATGATAGTCTGGAGTGTCTGTGAGATGAAAGTGCAATAATTGTGATAATATTATATAATATATAATAATTCTGATGGTGATTCATTCTGTTGGTTATTATGAGTAAAAATAAAGTAATTAGCACAAGGCAGATATATTTTTTATTGATTTTCTGTTTATGCTCAGTGCTAAAACTGATACACAGCAAGACAGGTTTTATTTTTAATTACAAATTGAGTTGCATATTTAATATCAGATATGTTTTAATACTCAAAATCAACGTAAACTGAAAGCCCTTTGTTTATAATATGAAAGCTAAGAGCAGAGATGTAGTACAACACTAGCGAGTGGGTTTGGGTGATTTTGGAGCTGATCTCTGGCTGATGGACGATCAGAGGTGGATGAAATCACTCTGGATGGTGAGGCAGAGTCTGATGAGTGATCTGATTGTGAATCATGTCGCTGTTTTATCCTTTTGTTGAAATATGAAGGCCAAACTGCAAATCACTCGTGTCAGGATTTTAGGTGATTTTTCTGAACTGAATTACTCACTGATGCTGATGTCAGAGCTCGATGATGTCACGCTTGCTAGTTGGCAGGTTTACTGAATGTCCAGACATGTGGATCATGTTTGTATCTTAAAAGGTTCTGAAGTTATGAAGACTAGGAGTGACCCACCGTTTTGCCCTTTATAGTGGATTGTAAAGGAAACAGGCAGCCAATTCAGTGATGCTGAAACTGCCCTGATACGATCTTGTTTTCTAGCCCATGTTAAAATGAGAACCTGAGTGGATCTCAGTGAGTTTAATCTAAAGCCAGTGCCAGGTTTCTGGACAGCGTTGCGGTCTGGCCTGTAGGCCAGTGTGGAGTGGTCTTTATGAAAGAACCCTCGGAGAACGTTGTTAAGAGTGTTGGCGTGTACACTGCTTGTTGTACTCGAGTCAGTTTCACTTTCACAGACGTGGTCGGCTCTGCGGATGTAGTAAGGTGTTGGTTAGTGGCTGCTGTGATTGGCGCTCGGTTGCTTGTTTCTAGAGCTGCCCTGAGCTGTAGGGCCGTCTAATCTAAACAGATGATGTAACTGTGCTGAGTGTGATCTGTGGCGCGTGTTAGCGAACATTTTGTTATTCACTGTTTACAGACACTCTCACACGTGCATGATGTGCCTCACATAGAGCACTGTGCCCTTGTACATAACACTATTTATTCAGTATATCTGGAGTGAAGTGAAGGGGAACTCCACCGATTTTTCAAGAATTCTACATAAGTGGTTGAGACGTAATCAGAGTGGTTCAGAGTGGTTTGTTGTATTTTAATCCATTTACTTTAATCCATGCAGGGCGCTGTGAGGCAAAACTGTCCCCAAAGAAAACTTATTATTACAGATTTTCCACTATTTTCCATCATCAACATTCCATATAGACTCAGAAGACTCGTGTAGGTTCACTGGTGGTTCTGGATAGGAAATAAAATGTCTATATCTGTGTTGTAGTCATGGCGACCCCTGGTTCCCATCACCACCACTGTGAAGACATCTGAACCATTTCACACCAAACCCCTCTGAATCACTCTGTTTACACCTCACACACGGAATTATTCTGAAATTTTGAAAGAAATGGTGGAATTCCCCTTTAAGGGGGGCTGAATGTCTCCTTTTTTGTCATTTTGTACTTTTTTACAGAATTTGAAAATAGCTGCTGACTTTTACAGTGTGCCAAAACTTCATGATGAACAGATCATCAGAAGTGCTCCAAAGTTGCTTGGACAAAAAAAAAATGTGGCCTGTGTTGAGGTGTTGAAGCACATTTTATACTTTGTTTTATTAGATTTTTTTCCAATGTTAAACTCAGCAAATTAATAGAAACAGTGCACTAAAATTTGCAGACAAAATGTCCTATTTAAACATCTTCCCTGTCAAGGATGTGTTAGTTTTATTTGTCAGTGTCACAGAAACATGCCAAAAAAAACCCAGAAAGGTCTTTTTGAGTTATTTCTTGTGTCTCACAGGAAGAAAAACTAACTCTGGGAAGTCCTCGCTTGGGCTAAAATACCGACTGTCACATAAAGTTTGTCAGTGGTGTAACTTATGAAACATCAAGTGATTTTAAAATTGAAAAGAATAAGAACATGAATGCAGTATTTGCAATATTTACATGCAACATGACATAGATAGATAGATAGATAGGTAGATAGATATGTTAATTAAATTACTTTTTTAAATTAAGTAACCCTTTACTAGTTCCACTAATTTCACCTCCACAATCTTACCAGTGCAGTGAAACACCACATACACAATAGCGAACACACACACACACACACTAGGGGCCAGTGAGCACATTCGCCCGGAGCGGTGGGCAGCTCTATCCACGGTGCCCGGGGAGCAGTTGGGGGTCAGGTGTCTTGCTCAAGGGCACTTCAGTCACGTACTGTCGGCTCAGGGGATCAAACTGGCGACCTTCCAGTCACAAGGCTGGTTCCCTAACCTCCAGCCCACAACTGCTCCAAAAAGAAAGTCGAGATTCCCGCATTTGGGGTATTCGCAAGGGTCAGCACAACCGAAGTGCAATGGCCGAGCCTCGCCCTGTGTGAACCACTTTCGTGGTTAGATAGACAGACAGACAGATAGATAGATAAACGAATAGACAGATGGACAGACAGACAGATGAATAGACAGACCGATAGATAGATAGACAGACAGATAGACTGACAGACAGACGAATAAACAGACAGATAGGTAGACAAATAGACAGACAGACATGGTTGTGGTTGGTATAGTGTAGTGGGTAACACCTCTGCTAGGTAACACCTCTTCTACGCTGTAGACCAGAGTTCAATCCCCCGCCTGGGTGAGCACCCTACACTATACCAATAAGAGTCCGTGGGCAAGACTCCTAACACGTTGTAAGAGCGTCTGCCAAATGCTGTAAATAAATGTAACAAACAGACAGATGGATGGAAAGACAGACAGACAGACATACAGACAATGAAATACAGTTAATCTACCAGAAGTGCAAATAGTAGCACTGTGTGAAAAAAAACAGTGCTAAATATTTTACAAACATACAGAAAATCTTTAATGAGCAGATTTTATAATGTGATTAAAACATAAAATGACTTTTAATAAATAAACTCTTCTAATCATGCAAATTCCCACCTGCAGGAAGAAGGTTATTTTTATTCATTGTGGAGACATGCATGCAAATTGCGACATTCCAGCCTGCTCCCTGCGAAGGCTGCCGGGTTTTTTTTAGCTCTCAGAGTTAACTTGGAACCAGCGTTTCCTCCACTCAGGCATCTACGTTTTGTTGCAAAGACACAACTTCCTGTTTAGCAGGAAACTCCCCCCTCGTGCTCTGTGTGTGAGTGGGCGACGCAAGTAGGTTAAAACAATGCGAGCATGAATAATTTTCCTCCAGCTGATGTGCCATCGGTCTCCGAGTCATCAGCCACGCCGGCGGGGAATTCCTCTCAGACTGAACCCGTGATGAGCTCAGCTCACCGATGGGGCCGGCGATGAATGGACGCCTTTTCATTCACAACACAAATCCACTTTTTAAATGAACGTCTTCAGCGACGCTGCAGCTCAGACGGCCGAACCGCTCGTAGATCTACAGATTTAAATAGACACGAAAGGAGTTTAACGATCAGTAATGTTCACTATATGTCCAAAGATTTGTAGACTTTCTGCTGAAATGAAGGGGGGTTACCCCTCTGGGGTCTGAGGTCATTCTCTCAATTTGATTTTGTCGAGACTCGGCTCGGACTCTCGCCTCAGAGACCCAAGACTCGACTCTGACTCTCACCTCAGAGACTCGAGACTCGACTCGGACTCTCACCTCAGAGATTCTAGACTCGACTCAGGCTCTCACCTCAGAGACTCTAGACTCGACTCGGACTCTCACCTCAGAGACTCAACTCAGACAGTTACCTCAGAGACTTAAGTCTATAGTTAATAATAAATATGATTAAAATTCTGTGCCTCTGAGTGGATGCACTGCAAGTGCAATATTTTTATTTATTTACTTATTTATTTGCTGTGTAAACAGAAATTTAAATACAAAATTACAAAGACACCATCCAGTGTGCAAAATGAAACAAAAATAATGACATAAAAATAAAAATGTAATAATAAATAACTAACTAAATAAATAAAAATAATGAAATACCAACAGCCACTTATATCAAGCACATATTTTGTGCACTGTAGATGTCAGTTTAAACATTAATATTCATAATAATATTTTTGTGTAGATCAGTGGTAGTGAGAGTGAAAAATATTGTCAGATTTTGAGTTTGAGTTTATATCGCCCAGCCCTGTACTGTATATCAGTCAGAAGAGGAAGGCCTGATTATTTCTGGGAACTAAAAACTGCACGTCTGTAATTATTAGTAAATTTGTTAGATTTGAACTGTAAGTATTGTAGTAATACTCTTATTTCATTGTTAAATTTGGGTTGGAAACAAAAGGGTTAAAGTCTTGAGACACCCAACAGAAAAGTATCCAATCAGGATTGTTCTCTCTGTGGTATCCAGGTAGATACAGCCAAGCTATTCTCCCATTGGTCAGGACTTTAGGAGCTGGCCTGAAGGCCCTACACGTTAGATTAAGTACCAAAATAATTAGGATGTGACAGAGGAACTAACCAATCACACTTTGATTTATAGTGGGTGGTTCTAGATACGTCACTGACTGTAAATATGAGTCATGGTCTAAGCAGGTTCCAGTTAGTTGTTAGGAATGTAAAACAGTGACGGCAGCTCTGTGTCAGAACTCTGTACTGAAAGAGTGACTGCAACACTGAAACACACAGCTGAGATAGCTGATAATGTTATAAGCTTCAAATAAAACATACTGAAGCTTCAAATGTCTTTGTTTAATTTAGAACTGCCAATGTTCATTTGAATTGCCGTTAGTGCTAACAAACTACTAGAATCCCATAGGGCAGCTATCAGAAGTTAGCATTATTGCTGAGGTGGGATTTTTCCTCGTGTTTTGACCGAGTTTTCACATTTATGATGAATTAAGGCCGAGCTATGATATTCATGGTTTGCCACTGATACCATTTGTGCTCTTTATCTGTCGTTAGTTGTTAGCGGTGGTCTCGGAGCTGCAGGATCAGGGTCTGAACGTCCTCGTACTGGGACGAAAACACATGCTGCGTCCCTCCTGGAACTGGGACAGACACGACATCCATCAGATCAAACAGAAATCCCTCTGCTTCTTCACAGAGAACATGTGAGTGAACGTACAAACACACACACACACACACACACACGGTTAGAGGTGTAAGCATGGTATGGCAGTGTCTGACACCCTGTCTTTAAAATAAAGCAGTCAGTAAACCTTAAAGTCTGTGTAAAGCTGTAGTAGATGTGTGTTCTGAGTTCGTCACACCACAGACAAATGAGTTATTAATCACCAGCCACATTTGAATGATTCCAAAAATCGGCAAGTATATAAAATTAGGTTTGAGAATCGTGATAAAATGCAGTATTCTCTGCTCTGAAGCACTGGGGCCGTGTTCAATGACGGCACTGAAACCAGTTATCCCTAAAACAAGAACTTTACAGGAGAGGGAAAAAAACTTAACCCTGTATTGCATGACTTATTACTAACACATGATAAAAATTTTTTAATGTGTTTTTGGTATTTAAATTTGCTTACATCATGTTTGGTAAATTGTTGCCATTTGGCAACAATGCGCAATCGTACCACAGCACCATAAAATCTAGCACCATAAATCCTTTTATTAGAAACAAGACCAACTTATGCTTAGTGAAATGTACGACCCAATATTTACAAATACTGGAAATTAATAGAGTTTCAATGAGTATTTGGAACGTATGGTAAAAACAACATCATAATAAGAAGTCCTGGTCATGTGATGTTATAAAGTATTTGTCCTTTCAAAATAAAAGACCTTTTTTCCACAATTAAATGGGAAAACAGATGTTATATTACTGCTTTTTAATAAAATTGAGATGAAGTAATTGTTGCCATATGGCAACACTGTGCGATAGAGGGTTAACTTTTAATGTACGTTAGTGTAGAGAGATTTTATTCCAAGCTATTTTGGAGCATTTCTGTTGGTCCACTTATTAAAATTCCACACAATGTAAAGAGCAGCTGCTTTTTTTTAAATAAATAGAAAACTCAAATTTGACAAAATGGAGATACTTATTTTTGGGTTTTTAGACAGTGAGAAATTCTAATGGGTTCTGAATTTCCTAAATTGACGCAGTTGATTAAGGTACAATTCAAGGTACATCCGTACAGCTGCACTGTATGGGAACGCGCTGCTGACCCATATCCACTTCCCTCTCTGCGTCATCCTGAAGAGCCGTCCATGTCGTCACTGGGCTGAACTGTTTCAGCTGTTTCTGCTGACTGATCCGTTTCCTTTTTCCCGATCTCAGCTCAGAAGATGACCCTTTCCTGCTCTACGCTGCACTGCATTCTGGGAACCACTGTAACTTTGTGAGTCGTGATCTGATGAGGGACCACAAGGCGTGTCTTCCGGACAGCGCCACCAGACGCCTCTTCTTTAAGTGGCAGCGTGGGCACCAGCTGGTGGTCCAGGGGTACGTTCCTGGAAAGAAGGTTCGATTTCAGGTGGGTGTGGACACAAATCAGAGAAAACACAGTATTATTAGCTCCACTGACCACATAGTTTCACTCTGTAGTTCTACAGTTACAGACTGTAGTCCATCTGTTTCACTACATACTTTGTTACCCTGTTCTTCAGTGGTCAGGACCCCCATGGACCCTCACAGAGCAGGTACTATTTGGGTGGTGGATCATTTTTAGCACTGCAGTAACACTGACGTGGTGGTGGTGTGTTAGTGTGTGTTGTGCTGGTCTGAGTGGATCAGACACAGCAGTGCTGCTGGAGTTTTTTAAACACCTCAGTGTCACTGCTGGACTGAGAATAGTCCACCAACCAAAAATATCCAGCCAACAGCGTCCTGTGGGCAGCGTCCTGTGACCACTGATGAAGGACTAGAGGATGACCAACACAAACTGTGCTGCAGCAGATGAGCTATCATTTCTGACTTTACATCTACAAAGTGGACTGACAAGCTAGGAGTGTCTAATAGAGTGGACAGTGAGTGTTTAAAAACTCCAGCAGCACTGCTGTGTCTGATCCACTCGCACCAGCCCAAAACACCACCACGTCAGGGTCACTGCAGTGCTGAGAATGACCCACCACCCAAATAGTCGCTGCTCTGTGGGGGTCATATGGGGGTCCTGACCACTGAAGAACAGAGTAACTAAGTATGTAGAGAAACAGATGGACTACAGTCTGTAACTGTAGAACTACAGAGTGAAACTATGTGGTCGGTGGAGCTGATAAGATGGACTGTGCAGATATGAGGATTGTTTTAATGTTATGGCTGATCTGTGTTTATAACAGTTTATGTGAAAGTAAATGAGGCCCAGTACTTTAGGCAAACACATAAACAGTTACCTTTTCAATCTGGATCTAAAACTGAATGACTTTCTTGTTTTTCAGAGGGCACTGAGGTATGATACAATAATTCAGAGCACCGGCACTGCCTGGCATATTCCCTACGACGAGGATGGAGGAGATAGAAGCACGTATGAAGTGCCACAGAGGTGGCTGTGTCTCACTAAAGAGCAGCAATGATTCTTCCTTCTTGTATGATATGTACAAACTGTAAAGATAAATAAAAATGGATTGCACCTAAAAGATTATCTGTTGGCCTTTTGTGCTGTGTGTATGTTTTTAATTTGTTTGAGACTGAATCTAAGGTTTGGCTCATTATATTACTGTGAGTTGTGAAAATCAGCATCAGGTTACAACAATAACTAGAAATACCACCGCTGTTTATTAGATTAGATAGATTAGATAATCCTTTATTAATCCCACAACGGGGAAATTTGCTATTTAATTTAATTTAATTTAATTTAATTCAATTTATTTAATTTAAATGTATTAAATATTATAAAAAGATAAAAGCCTTGCATGAAGACTAAAGAGAGTGGACAATGTGTCCATTCTCCATGAAGTGTATCCTACTCTGAACTGTAATGACATCATACTTCATAAGTCCAAAAGTACCCAGAGAGTCCATCTAATGAGTGAATTCAGCTACTTTAAGGTCACTGACTAATGACACCAGGTGTGATGTGGAAAAAATTGTATATAATAATACTTAAAGAAATTTTCACAGTACGTGACACACAGACACGTGACTGGAGTTCAAGAGCCTTAGCGATGACTTTATAACCCTTTCCAGGCTGGGAGATTTTAGTGACTCTGTTTCAGAGAACGTAGCACCATATGCTGCTGTTTGAGACCTTCTAGCTGCTTCACATTGCCAGACAGATTCTGTTGAAGTGAGGTTTGGATTCAGCAGGTCTGGCAGTGATCGTGTCTGGGTGTGGCAGTGAAACTGAACTCAGTAGTCAATTGAATTTGGTTAACTAGTTGATATACTATGGGGGCACTTACTTGTTCACATTGGGCCAGGTAGGGCTGAACAACATTTTTAGCTCAATAAATAAAACATGTAAATACAGCAGTTTGTGTTTACCTGTTTATCTTAGTCTAATATTAAGAGTAGTCTGATCATCTGAAACATTCAAGTGTGACAAACATGCAAAAAAAGAAATCTTTTTCACAGCACTGTGAAATGGTTCTATAAAGAACGCATGGTTCTAAATAGCCTTTACTAAAGAACCCTTGAAGAACCATCTTTTTAAAGTGTCTTCTTGGCCTAAATTGTAGTGCCAGTGGGGAATCCGCTTTGGAAATTCTTTTCAGTCTACACACTTAAAAATGTTGGTTCTTCAAGGGTTCTTTAGTAAAGAAAATGGGTCTATATAGAACCATGAACACTCAAAGAACCCTGTGCATGATTAAATGGCTATTTGCATCATGAAAGCGTTCTTCAGATTGATAGAGAATGTGCTGTAGATGGTTCTATATAGCACCCAAAAAGGTTTACTGTTACAAGCTTGACATCGTAACAATAAAAGGTTCTATAGAGACCTATGTACAGCACATTCTTTAGAACGCTTTCATGATGCAAAGAACCATTTCATCATGCAAAAGGTTCTTTGAGTGTTCATGGTTCTATATAAAACCATTTTCTTTACTAAAGAACCCTTGAAGAACCATCATTTTTAAGAGTGTAGGCTTAACCTGCTGAAAAGAAGCTTTAGAAACCACTAAGATTAAAACCTAATGGTTTGGCTTTTTATGGGAACTGGCTTAGTTTAGCTTAGTTTCCCATAGAACACCTTTAGATCCCGTTAGGAAACCATTGGTCACCTGTAAACCCATTAGGATCCTTTACACTGTGATATCAACCCATTAAAAAAGCCAAAACACATTACAAAACTATCAGGAACCAACAGAAACACAATGGTTTATATCAGTTTTTTTTTCAGCAGGGTATGGTTAGTCTAGGAAACTGGCCCATCACGTCTATGTATATGTATAACAGACGTTGTGTGAATATATTACGAATGTGTTCCATGTAAACATCAGTTAAAGGGAAATTCCACTGACAGAGCAGTGTGCACTTGTAAAAAACACTATTTACGCAGTATATCTGGAGTGAAGTGAAGGGGAACTCCACCTGTATTTCAAGAATTCTGCATGATTAAATGGTTAAGATGTGAGTCGTTCAGAGTGGTTTGGTGTGAAACACTCTTTTCTAGAGAAACCTACCAAGTCAGAATTGTTCACAGTGGTGGTGATAGGAACTAGACGTCCACCTCTAAAAGCTCCCTCACAGAAAGTTACTACATGAAATGGTTATGAATTCACTGCCTGATGACTGAGACACTGTTTTTCCATTGCTTTTAGCAGGTTTTGGCCTTAAACTCCATTCATGGTGGAGGGATACATAATATGCAGGGCACTGTGAGGCAAAATAGTCCCCAAAGAAAACTTATTATTTCAGATTTTCCACTATTTTCCATCATCAACATCCCATATAAACTCAGAAGACTTGTGTAGGTTCACTGGTGGTTCTGGATAGTAAACAAAATGTCTATATTTGTGTTGTAGTCATGGCAATCCCTGGTTCCTATCACCACCACTGTAAAGACATCTGACCCATTTCACACCAAACCACTCTGAATCTCTCTGTTTACATCTCACACACATGCATGAGTTATGCAGGAAGGCAGGAACATTGGTGGAGTTCCCCTTTAAGCTAAACAGAGTTAAATAAAGGATAAACGCTATTAAGGTGGAAATCTCTGAAATAATATTAATACAGTTTAAATAATGGTCATAAAGCGTTTATAGAAAGGGCTGGGCGATATGACAATGTTTAGGTTTAAATAATACAGTATATATATAAAGTATTTATAGTTTAAACTCATTTAACGGTTTTAATAATACAGTTTCACGTAAACACCACGCTTCTCCCGAACCGGATGTCAAGCGCCACTGTTTCCGGGAGTTGGTAAAGGTCCCTGTCGGTGTTGCTGCTGGTTGTAAAATTAATAATTTTAAAATTTTGATTATTAGTTAATTTTTCCTTGGCATGTCTCGGGGTTCGAGTGCGGGCTTTGACCGCCACATCACCATCTTTTCTCCGGAGGGAAGACTCTACCAAGTCGGTGTGTATGAGGGAGCTTAGCTGAAGCGAAAGCAGAAATGCTCAGTCACTCTGTCTGCACCTCACCTGATCACCTGTTATTACTAATATTATCACTAATATCACCGAGAGAGGGGTCGACCGCTGTGGGCTTCACCTGTAGACGGCATGCTTTGTTTTTTCATTCATATTTTATTCATTATTTGATCATTATTTGCTTGCAGGCTGCTGCTGTTAGCAAGTTAGCAAGCCGGCTAAGCTAACTACAGCTAACTGTTTGTTTTTGTTTTTTTCTCCAACAATTTTATTTTTTTCACACAAACTTGAGTTCATTTTTTCAGTTTAGAGCTACTAAGCAGATATATAAGCTAAAATCTAATCTAAGTAAAATCTAGCAAATATTAAAAGAGCGAAAAAAGAGAAAGGCAACAATCAGAATATTAATAAAACGCTATAATAAGAAAACAGACTAATATAACTAATTTAACTGTTCATCTGTCTGCTGTGTCTTATATTAGCTAGTGTTATAGAAGCACAATATCTCATTTATTATAGCTGTTGATCTTCAGTTGCAGCTGGTTAAACACTGATATATAAATTAATCAGGATGAAAAAGGAGTATTAAGCATTGTATTTGTACATATATATTAGTGAAAATGATAATATTAGGATGCAAAAACAAGTGAGAACTGTCAGAATATTAAAAAAAAAGAAAAAGGTAAAAGAAGCAATTAGATATTTATAGTATGATAATATTAAATTCATAATATAATATAGCTTTCTCACTTTGTCTCCAGTCATAATGTGTTATTAAAGCAACAGATTTGCTCTGTATTTGTATTAAAGCTGGGCAGTGTTCATCATTGTCATGGATCAGTTAAATCACAATATGGCACAGTATGCTTTTCTGAGCATTTTGTGGATATCAGTACTTAAAAAACACTTCCCAACTGCATGTTTGATTAAAAACAGAGCATAATTAGTGCTTTTTAATTGGATTTAATGCAGCATAGTAACTACTACTATCATAGATTTTGATAGTATTTGTTAATGTGTGGCACTGTTTGTCTATTCTAACTTATCAGATGTCAGAAAAACATAAATATTGGGACACATTCTGTATCGTAAAAATACTTCCTGAAGTTTTATGATATTACATTTTGCCGTATTGCCCACCTTTAATTTGTATCTGCATTTGCTTGGGATGATGGTACTTGATAGTATTTGTATTCTGACAGAGTGTTCACTATCCTCTCACACTCCTCATCTGGCTGGTTCTGTGTCTGACCTTTGGTTCCATGCTCTTTATATGATGTATGTTTTGGCTGTCTGTCCATCAGGTGTCTACAGTTGGCCTAAAAATAGTTCCCATGTTCTTAAAACTTAAAGAGAATTAAAGAATGACTCTACTTGATTGAGTTTATTCTTAATAAAATTGGGCCGATATTTGCGACAGTTTATTCCCAGCCAGGTTCTGCTGCTGTTCCTGGCTGATGATAAAATTAATTCCCGTTTTGACCCGTTTTTCCTCAGAATATGCATTTAAGGCCATTAACCAGGGAGGCCTTACTTCAGTAGCTGTCCGTGGGAAGGACTGTGCAGTCGTCGTCACGCAAAAGAAAGTGCCAGTGAGTGTTGTTTATTTGTTTATTCTTAATATTCAGCATTTTAGGGTCTTTTTAATGAATGTAGCAGCTGTGGCATGTCTAATAAATATCATATGTGTGTGATGTAATGCAGATTTCACACTAGATGTTTGCACTTTTCTGCTTTGGGGCACAGTCAGTGATGTGTGTTTACATTTCTCAGGATAAACTGCTGGATTCCTCCACCGTAACTCATTTGTTCAGAATAACAGAAAACATCGGCTGTGTGATGACGGGCATGACGGGTAAGATCTTTTATAGCTAATGTTATTGTAATATGAAATAAAAAAATGAAGATTAAAATTCATCTTGTTAATTTGATCTGTGTCTTATATGATTTCAAGTTAGTACTTATAATTTGTGGTATTACTGTTTAATTATATCACCTGTCTGTAAAACACTTTGAGCTGCCACCGGCATGAAAAGTGCAATATAAATAAAGATTATTATTATTATTACTGTTATAATCTACAGTACTTGCTTACTCATTTAGCTCTGTAGTGTGCTAGACATCACACTAATGCTTCCTGTCTGTATGTCTGTATGAATGTGAAGCTGACAGCAGATCACAGGTCCAGAGGGCTCGATATGAAGCGGCTAACTGGAAGTACAAGTACGGCTATGAGATCCCAGTCGACATGCTGTGCAAACGGATTGCTGACATCTCTCAAGTTTACACGCAGAACGCAGAGATGAGGCCACTGGGGTGCTGTAAGTGCTCAACACGTTCACATTAGGGATGTACGATACAGATCATATCAGGGTTAAAGGGGTTTTTGTTTCTACAGAGCTGTTACTCTGTTCTACACGTGGCTTTCAGCCCTCTCACAAAACAAACCCCCACCTAGAATTTATAAGCTCCTCAGAAAAGCCAATTGTTTGAGTAGGGCTGGGCAGTATGACAGTATACACCAATCAGGCATAACGTTATGACCACCTCCTTGTTTCTACGCTCATTGTCCATTTTATCAGCTCCACTTACTATATAGGTGCACTTTGTAGTTCTACAGTTACAGACTGTAGTCCATCTGTTTCTCTGATACTTTGTTAGCCCCCTTTTACCCTGTTCTTCAGTGGTCAGGACCCTTATGGACCCTCACAGAGCAGGTACTATTTGGGTGGTGGATCATTCTCAGCACTGCAGTAACACTGACGTGGTGGTGGTGTGTTAGTGTGTGTTGTGCTGGTCTGAGTGGATCAGACACAGCAGCATAGAAACAAGGACATAATGTTATGCCTGATAGGTGTATATCGTTATTGTGATAAATTATGTCAGAGTACAATAAGATATGCTTTTCTGTACACATCATGTATATCGTCAATACTTGTAGACACTGACCAACTGCATGCCTGATTATAATAAGAGCATTATTATTAGTGCCAAATATTGAAAAAAATATTGTATTCATAGTTTTTCGTAAGCTCTGTCCTCTTTCAATCAATAATTATCACCTTTATTTTCACTCAGGACTCAATTTAGGCAGCCCCTCATTTAGAATTAATAAAATTTAATTAACTAGGGAAGAAAAATAAAAACAAAAAAATAAAATATAAGTATAAAATAACATTAAAAATATAATAAACGCAAATAAGTGAATGAAAACGAAAGATTTACTCTGATAGGCTGCAACTAATACCTGGCTCTGATTATTTTTGACCCCACTTGGTAGATTGAGTGTCTGTGATTGGTCCATTGCCGAAGCGGGCTAACAGCGATGTTTCTTATTAATCTATATTTATGAAAATATAATCAATTATCTGTCTTTACAGTTTTGCCATAGTTTGTCCTGCTTGCCTTGCTCTTCATATATGGATGGTAGTGTTAACTTGTTTTAAATTGTAATTAAAGAAATGTATTGATTAGGGCTGGGCAATATGACTGTATATATTGTTACTGTAATAAATTATGGCACAATACAAACCTTTTTTCTAAACATATCATGGATATCGTCGTGTAGAATACTGACCAACTGCAAGTTTTATTATGGTTATATTTTTGCCATATCGCCCACCTCTAGTATTGATGTTGATAACAGGCTCAGTTATCAGTTATTGAGTATCAGTGATCACTTTTGTCTTCTTGTTTTAAATCCTTTAATGTAATGTTTTATTTATGTGCAGCTAAAGGAGACCAATGTGTGTACAGAGTTTGGTGAAGTTAATGAAAACATACAGTCATATGCAAATGCTCAATTTACATATAACAATAAGTTAAATCCTCTGGCATTTTTCTGCACATTTTAGTGCTCAGTGTCTATTTATTTGAGTTGGACACACTGGGGAAAAAAACATGACGTATAAAATGTGCTATAACTTTTGCACAGGCTACATTTTGTTTATTTTGTTTTGTCAGATTCATTAAATAAACAATAATTGTGCATTAAAATGTGCAGAAGTGTGTCTGTAGAGGACGTGTTGACTTACTTTCACTTAGAAAATCAACAAACCTTTGCATACCACTGTGTTGTAAAGCAGCAGGTGAAGTGAAAAAACAGTGCGCTGGTTTGTTTCCTCTTCTTAGGTATGATTGTGGTCGGTGTGGACGAGGAGTGCGGTCCACAGGTCTATAAGTGCGACCCTGCAGGTTATTACTGCGGATTCAAGGCCACCGCTGCGGGGGTCAAACAGACAGAAGCCACCAGCTTCCTGGAGAAGAAAGTGAAGAAGAAATTAGACTGGACTTTTGAGCAAACAGTAGAGGTGCAGTACGCTTTTTAATGGATGTAAAATAATTATCATAATAAAAATAATAATGATAAGTCCTTATTCATGTAGCACCTTTCATATTTTTTCACATTTTATAACTCATTATAATCTGAATATAATAAAATTCAAAGTTTGTGCTCATTTTTTCAAAAGTACTCACACTATTTTCAAAAATTAGTGTTTTTTATTGTTTTATTGTCCGTTCCACTAGCGTGTAAATAGTCTTCTGTTTGTTTTTGGTTTATTTTCAAACATAATTCTGTATTCTGATGAAATTTGAGATTTCATGATGCATTGAATCACAAATTAAACGGATTGTGAGGCCAGAGATTTGCACCCCTGCTCTAAATGCAGTTTAACAGCTCAGCACACATTTGCTTTATATCAGAATCAGAATCTTTTATTATGATAAAAAATTTGCATTTTTTTCTTGCACACAACAGAAATACACACAAAATATACAGTATCACTCTGAAAGTAAACAGAATAGATGGATATTGAACACTATGTATGTTCCATTATGAATGCATGTACATGTGGTTATGAATCATATGCATTATAAGTAGAATGTGAAGAATAATATATACATTTTTTGTATTTAATTTCATTCCTGGGGTCCAATTTTGACATTTATGTATCGTAATTAATTTTTACGACCTCTCTCTGTCCCTTAGAATTAGACAGGCTGTTAATGTGCCTTTAAGACTGATGTGTATAAATGAGCTCTGTTCTGATTGGCTGTCCTGTATTGCGCCTCATTTAAAAAGCAGAGCTGAAACACTACTTATAACTTCAGAGTGAATGGGCGGGGCTAAACTGCTGTAACCTGAGGGGCGGATATATGCAAATGAATTTGTGACATCAATTCAAACTGGGCAGCTTATTGACTGTGTAACTGTTAAAACGATGCTAACATCAAGCTCTCATTTCAAAAAGGCGCGGAAAATAAAGTTTTCTATGATAAAAGCCCTTTTAATGAGGATATACAAGTTAAAAGTCCATAAGAGCTCCTTATTTAAGTGAATAAGGTCTGTTCAGGTGGATACTGATCTGAGCGCATGTTTTATTATTATAATTTCTGATGTTTTTTTTGTTTTTCTGATCCCATAGACTGCAATCAGCTGCCTGTCTACAGTCCTGTCCATCGACTTTAAGCCGTCGGAGCTGGAGGTGGGGGTGATTACTACAGAGGAGCCACGGTTCAGGTGAGTACTCAGTGAAGGGTAAATGGAACAGGAAGTCACTCTTAAACACCACTTTACGCTCTGAGGGAACCACAAAACCAAGCTCAGTAAAAATATTCACATCTATGCATGTTACTCCACGACCTACTTATAGCATCAAACAAAACTGCGCCTCTTATGGAACAAAGATGTATATCTCATTGACGTGCTTTGTGCTGAAATTACTGGGACATGTTTTGTTTACACCAAAGCATTGTTGTTTTGTTCCCTCTCAGAATTTTGTCCGAGTCCGAAATCGACACCCACCTCATGGCGCTGTCCGAGCGGGATTGAGGAGCGAAACGCTTTCCTGCAGGAGACGATAATCGGAGCTTAAATTGTAAACATGACCGTGGGAAGCACTACAACATATCCTCAGTATTTCAGGTCAAACTTGCTTTCTGCTGTTAATTTTGCTTTTTCATGCAACACTTCAATAAAAAAAAAGTTTTTTTGGACAAGTTCTGGTTTTATTCCCCCATTTTTTATGTAGCACTCGTCGTGCACGGTCACGACTTTCCATACACCATGTTCACCACACTTCTCAAAAGTCTCCACCATACGTCAGTAAATATTCCAGATCTGTTGTGCATGCATTAACTGTTTTGTTTTACCTCATACGCTTACAAAATCAGACTCTTTCTCAACGTTTATGTGGCAGAATGGCCTTTTTCTGAGGAGTGGTTTACTGCAGAAAGATGTGACTTCCTGTTTTGTTCATTCAGAGTCAGTCAGCTGACTTTTCTCTCAGCCCTCGTGTCTGCAGAGCTGTACATTAAAGTCTATTTGCAGTTTTTCCAGTCTATGCTGCATTCTTCTTTCACTACGGTGCATTCTGAGCAGAGATCAGCAGACATGTGCTCTGGTGTTTATGTGGAATTTTAAGGCTGTGCAATATATTAACCCGCAGCCGCAGCTATTTTTGCTGTTAGAAGTGGCATAATTTTAAAATAATGGTTTTAAAATCTTTGACAATAGCTCTGTCTTTGAAAACACTTCAGTCGCCAGACCTCACACTGTGATTTGTGTGTGTGTGGGTGGGGAGGGGGGGGTACAGACTGTAAAAGGAAAGCATGTGGTCAGAAGAACGTACACCATGTTGTACAGTTATAAAAGCATCCAGTTTACCAAGGTTAAAAAATATGACTTTTATAGTGTACTAAGGCAAAAAACGCCATGTACAAATGCAATAAAAGGTTAATCATTATCATAATAAAGGCCTTTGCAATACTGATATAATAAGAGGCTGCAATATGCAAATGAGCCCTCTCACCAATCACATTTTTTTTACTGACTAATCATGGAAGTTCCTGTGGGTTTTTTTTGACAAATCAACATATTTACATGATAGTGGTTGGTACAGCATGTTAGGCAACACCTCTGCGTGGCAGACTGGGCTTTATATCACCATGGGGCAAGCACGCCACGCGACACCAACACACAAGACTCATAACGCTTCAAGTCACACGTAAGAGCGTCTGCCAAGTGCCTTTAATGCATCCAACACTTCTCTAATGTTTAATATATTCTATAGACTTCATTACTCATTGTCCACTTTATCAGCTCCACTGACCATATAGTTTCACTCTGTAGTTCTACAGTTACAGACTGTAGTCCATCTGTTTCTCTGCACCCTGTTCTTCAGTGGTCAGGACCCCCATGCGTCCTGTGGGCAGCGTCCTGTGACCACTGATGAAGGACTAGAGGATGACCAACACAAACTGTGCAGCAGCAGATGAGCTATCGTCTCTGACTTTACATCTACAAGGTGGACCAACAAGGTAGGAGTGTCTAATAGAGTGGACAGTGAGTGGACACAGTGTTTAAAGACTCCAGCAGCACTGCTGTGTCTGATCCACTCGCACCAGCACAACACACACTAACAAACCACCACCACATCAGTGTTACTGCAGTGCTGAGAATGATCCACCACCCAAATAGCACCTGCTCTGTGAGGGTCCTGTGGGGGTCCTGACCACTGAAGAACAGGGTAACCAAAGTATGCAGAGAAACAGATGGACTACAGTCTGTAACTGTAGAACTACAGAGTGAAACTATGTGGTCAGTGGAGCTGATAAAATGGACAGTGAGAGTAGAAATGAGGTGAACTTAATGAAGTGGCTGGTCAGGATATATCGCGATTGTAATGTGTAGTAAAATAATCGTCATAGTGATTTTTATCTGTCGTGTGTGTATTATCTGTGTTTTTTTAAACTGGAATTGAACTTTTTCTCTCTCAAGATGTAAATGAACTGTCCTGCATCCCCCCCCAATTTGCATAGAGTTGTCTTTCTCGGCCCGGGGCAATAAAACCCCATTCCCCGATGAAAAGCCGGATTTTCCAGGTGATCATTTCTCGGATCAAGTTGAATCATACGTGTGTTTTGTGTATTTGCTGAGTAGCCTTAGAAGGTCTTTCTGAGTCCCGGGGTTAATACAGAGAGGGACAGTTATGACTCTGTCATTTGCATGAGTATGTTGGTTTTCTCAGGGCAGTAAAGACGCTCCTGCCAGCAGCGCAGTGACGATAAAGCCCAGACTGAGGTACAGCCCCTAACTACTGAGCTCAGGTCGGTATTCAAATCATCGAAACCACACGTCACCTTTTGTCTGCACTTACTGTAAGAGGAAATCAGTGAAGCAGACTGGGGCTGAGATCACTGTGTTATCAGAATAGTCCCATATATATATATATATACACTATATGGCCAAAATTATGTTGACCTAATTATTGAGTTCAGGTGTTTCAGCCTCACTTATTGCTATCAGGTGTATAAAATCAAGCACATAGCCATGCAGACTCCATAGACAAACACTGGCAGTAGAGGGTCATACTGAGGAGCTCAATGACGTTAAACATGGGTCTGTCATAGGATGACACCTCTGCCACAAGTCAGCTAGTGACATTTCACCTCTGCTAGATCTGCCCGTCAACTGTAAGTGCTATTATTTTGAAATGGAGCAACAATAGCTCAGCCACGGTAAACTACGCAAGCCCACATAGCAGGCGCCGAGTGTATGAGCACGTAGAAAATGTCTATTGCATCACTCACTATTGAGTTCCAAACTGCTTCTGGAAGCAACAACAGCAGAAAGGCCTGTGTGAGCTTCACAAAATGGGTATCTATGGCTGAGCAGCTGCACACAAGCCTAAGATCACTATGCTCAATGCCAAGTGTCGGCTGGAGGGGTGTAAAGCACCACCACTGGACTCTGGAGCAGTGGAAACGTGCTCTCTGGAGTGATGAATCTTCGTTATCTGTCAGTCTGATGATAAATCTGGGTTTTGTGGATGTCAGGAGAACGTTATCTACCGGAATGCACAGAGCCAACAGTAGAGTCTGGTGGAGGGGGGATGATGGGCTGGGCTGTTTTTCAGGGTTTGGGCTCTCAGTTCCAGTGAAGGGTGATGTTGATGCTACAGCACAAAGACATCTTACACAATTGTACACTTCCAACTGTGTCAGCAGTTTGGGGAAGAGCTTTTCCTGTTCCAGCATGACTGAGCCCCTGTGCACAAAGCAGCTCCATAAAGACATGGAGTGGCCAGTTTGGTGTGGAGGAACTCCAGTGGCCCTCACAGAGACCTGACCTCAACCCCACTGAACACCTTGAGGATGAACTAGAACGGAGATTGTGAGCCAGACCCTCTCGTCCAACATCAGTGTCTGACCTCACAAAATGCTCTTTAGACTGAATGAGCACAAATTCTCACAGACTCACTCCAACATCTTGTAGAAAGTTTCTCAGAAGAGTAGAAGCTGTTAAAGCTGCAAAGGGGGGCAACTTTAATATTAACGCCCATGTTTTTGGAATGGGGCATCCAACAAGTTTATATAGGTGTGATGGTCAGGTGTCCACATACTTTTGGCCATATTGTGTGTATGCATATCATCACTGTCAGACAAAATCCTTTTATCTCCTACCTAGTAAACTTTACAAATTATCAGTATTTTTATACATTCTACATGAATTTTGAAACTGTGTAAATGGCAGCTGCTCATTTCAAATTATGTACAAAAAATGGAAAAACGACAGTATATTGCAAAATTTTGTAAATTTTCATTGACTGTAGGTGACACTGTAATGTCACCTGTAGTGTAGCTGCTCTATTGGAATATAGTTAACTGTATAGACTTAACTATATAGCTTAACTGTATAGATTAGCTTCTAAATTCTTTTTATATCCCATGTATAAATATTAAAAAGAGCCTATAAAAGCCAAATAACCATCAGCAATTCTATTTGTCGCTTCTATAACTTAAGAATAACCATGTTTACATTCTCCCTTTGCATCGTCTTCCATGTAAATCCTGTGTAATGAGCCTCGGGGGGGAAAACGTCTGGCATTTTCCACTAACGGGAGGCTTTTTCCCTCTCTGGCCCCACAGTAAGCTGTACTGTGAAGGAAAAGAGGCGAAAATGGTTTCGATAATGTGCAGCAGCTTTGAGAAAAAGAGTTGACTAATCATTTGTCACGTTTGGATTCAAAGAATAGTTTTTGACGAGTTCCATGAAACCTCTGACGGCTGGAATTCGGGAAGCTATGACTCGGATGGGGAATTTTCAGCATTGCCAATCCGTTCTGAGCGCCCTTCCCCCCACAGGAAATTCCACTGTGCTCAGCTGATGGGAGTACAAGCTCTTCTATTACAAACACTTCTCCTCAGACAAAAAAAAAGCCTGGCTCCTCCCCGGCCCTCCTCCCCTCCACTCCCCTCACTGAGAAAACACTCAAAGAGGAACAAGACGTACTTTGCAGTTTCAGGGTTTTAATTTACTGGAGCTTTCTGGGATTTTCCACCAGAAAAAAAAGGAAAATTTACAGTTGCATTTTTCCACACGCGCAAGCACACACACACACACACACGCGCGCACACACACACGCTCACTCTGTATACATTTACATTTGTCTTTATAAAAATAAATCTTTATAAGTCTTTATACACAGTATGATACACCGCAGTACATCAGTACTCCAGATTAAGGATTTTCTGCAGGAACTTCATCAAAGTCCATCAGAAAGAGCGTCGGCTCTCCAGTGTTCTCGGTCCTTTATTGTCTTGAAAGTTTCGAGAACCTTCTCATCCTACGCTTCTTCTCATTGGCACTTGCAGACCTGTGTGACCTCTGACCCCTGGCCTCCTGGGCCTGTGGGGGCTGCTGGTCGTTCCTGGATGCCGTTTTAAAATGAACGGACTCAACTTCTTCATTCTGGAACTCTCCGAACCTCCACCGAACTCTATTTCGACCCCATCACTTTAATATCGTCATACATCTGTGAACGAGAGGAAAAAAACAGGTGTATGAGTGACTTTGAGCTTCAAAAGGGGTTTAGAAATAAAGTTATAAAGGGTTAGTGTGGAAACTGAAATGTGCACGAAAAGAAAAGGACTCAACCAGTGGTCACCAGATGCACTGAAATGCATCAAATCTGATCAATATAATATGTTATTTATGTTGAAATGAACACACCTGATCCTGCTAATCAGGCAGACTGATTACCACGTGTTCAACTAGAACCGACCCATTCAAGGGTTGGTGTGACCACTGGACTAAACAAACTGAGATGTACCGCCAAATGTTACACACCTCATCATCGGACATCGCGTCATAGTCGGAGTCATCCTCGGTGTCCTCGGACTCGCTGTCGGGCAGTTCTCGGAGGTTCTGTGCCGTGATGTCGTACAGAATCTTCTGGATTTCAGCGTCCTGACGGCCGTAGGTCAGGTGATACGCCGTGTGGCCGCCGTACGTCAGGCTGTTTACGTTGGCGCCTTTGCTGACCAGGAGCTTCACCAGCTCCAAATTCTGGAGGTCCACAGCCAAGTGGAGAGCCGTCCGCCCATTACACTGCTCCTAAAAAGGCAAAAAATAAGGAGTTTTGAACGGCTCGCTCGCTCAGTTACTTAATTTATTATTAGTATTAGTTCACAAAGTTACGGAATTGTCTATAACATAAGAACATCTAGTTTGGGAAAAAAAACGAATGCTGTGAAATCTACCTGTGCGTCGATATCTGCTCCAAGAGAGATGAGACTTTCCACCAGTGAGAGGTAGCTGTGGATGGCAACCAGGTGTAGGCATTTCTGGCCTAAGGAGAAAAACTAATTATGAGAACCAGACGAAATGATATCTAAACAAAGACACTGAAATATATTATATCACAGATATTGAATCACATATTAATCCTTACCGCTGTAGTTGGGCGTCTGGAGAATAGCCGGGAGCTGGTCAGGGCAGTTTTGCGTGAGAAGGCCGAAGCACGTGAGGGAACCTGTGCGGCAGGATATGTGGAGCGCTGTGTTGCCATTGTTATCCACTAACGTGGGGTCGCAGCCGGCCTTCAGCAGCCGCTCGACGATCTGAGGCTGCTCGGTGTACACGGCCAGGTGCAGTGCAGTCTGTATCAACAAAGGGACGAGGTTAATGGAAGATCCAGAGCCATAAAAGGAATAAATTCAAACGTACACGAGGATCAAACCCAGCTTTGGATGAATGCAAATTCCTACTTTAGATCTAGATTTAGGTCTGGAGCACATTTCAGGCCTTTACCTGTCTTTGGTGGTTCTGCTTGTTGAGGAAAGGGTCGTTAACTGACATGTCAATCATCTTCATCGCCATATCCTGAGCCTCATGAATGATGGCAAGATGCAAGTACCTTTAAAAAGAAGAAGAACAAGAAGAATTTAATTAAATTGCAAACTTGCGAGAATGCAGAGTGCAGGGGTGGTGCGCTCAGCTAGGGGGGAAAAACAGCAACTTCTTTTTTTTTTGTTTTTGCACACAGGTTTTTTTTTCTTTCCGCACTGCGCATGCGCTGCAGTAAATTCCTGGCAGACGGCCCGGGACTTTCCGCGCTCATGCAGCGCTGCATGCAGGCCTGTTTACACTGGGACCTCTGCCTCAGAGAGAGTGGTATGCACACTGCACCCTCTAATATGTCTTAAAGGAACATTTTGCAACCCACGGGGAGATTTTAATTAACATCTCATCAAGATTATAACAATCTTGCATGCCATTTCCTCACTATTGGAACTGCTGCTGGGTTGCATTAGACATGCATTAAATATTTGGCTTTTTCTTTTCTTTTAAAAAAGCTTTTTTTCTGCATCAGACACAAGTCCCTCACTTATAAGTAGGCAAATTCTAAAAAAAAAAAGAGTCATAGTGACTCTCATGTCCTTATTATTAAAATTGTAAAAATATATAAATTAATTAAATAAATAAAATAAACAAAAATATGCATTGCAAACTGAACCTTTCGACAGGGAACCCAAAGCTATTTTCTCAGTTTTAAACTAAACTTGTTTGCACTGCATGGAGGAGACTTTTATTTATTTTTGTTTTAAACATTTTCTGTGATTTTGTGCATTTTTTGCACTCTATTAAACCGTGGAAAAACAAATTAAAAGTCCTGCTGTCCTCTATTTTCTCACTACTCGAACCAACTCGATTTTGCAAACCGCAACAGGCTTTTTTCCAAGCAAAATAATCCGGCTCCGTCTTTTCTATAATAACCCTACAAAACACTAGCGTTTGCTTATTTTTCAAAATAAAAGTCGTCCAATTCTAACCAGCACTGGAATACAATTGCAGGGCTGAATTAATGAGTATTAAAACTTCTTAGTGTGACGTCCAGACGAAGCTTCCTATTCGCCAGCTTCTTGTTCGACTTTTCCCGTTCCACCTTAAATGGTGCAGCAGTTAACGTTACATCTGCACCGTTTAAGGTGGAACGGGAAAATTCGAACAAAAAGCTGACTTTAGTTTCGTGACCTCCAACCCCCCCCCCAACCGCGGACCCCTGTAGAAGCCAAAGCCGCTTACGTGTCTCCATCCTCGGTCACTTCTCTCTTCCAGTCCGCGCCCTCCTGCTCCGGGCCCTCCTGGGGAGGAGCGCTCTGGACGCGCAGCCGCCCCAGATCCGCGGCTACTTCGTTGTATTCCTCCTCCTTTAGAGAGTCCAGTCCACTGTCCAGCCGCTCGTCGGTGTTGGTCAAAGCTTTTCCGGCCTTCGGGCCTCGACCCTCGGCGTTATAATCCATCTGGTTGGCTCTGGTGCTTCGATAAAGATCCATAATGTATGTTGTCTGCTCTGTTGCGCGCAGTAGAGTGGAGCGCAGAGCCGCAAGGGTGCTCAAAGTCACTGCTGAAGGGGCGGGGCTTGCTGCATGTAGGCGTGGCTTCGGTCTGGGTGGGGGATTTCCAAGCGTGATTGACGTCTGAGCCGTGTCTGTAGGGAATTTGTCCAGGAGTTTGGGGAAATTTCTGCACTTTATCAAGCAGGATGCACTATCGGGGCTGGGAATTCTGCAAAAAACCAGCGTGGAAATGTTACAGAATTCGAAAAATACTGGGCCTGGACTTTTTTAATAAAGCATAACATCTTTTTTTTAATGCACTAGTTAACTGTTAACACATGAAGCTGAAAGACAAGAAAGAAATGCACACAATCATGATAAATTTAGAAAAAATAGAAAATAGGCCTTAAAGGGGAACGCCACCATTAAAAAAAATTCTACATTCGTTGGTGTGACAGGGGAGGTGACAGGAACCAGACATCCACCTCTAAAAGCTCCCCCACAGAAAGTTGTTGCATGGTTATGAATACGCTGTCTGATGTCTGATTGATTGTTTTACGATAGTTTTGTGATAAATTTTGGCTTAAAATGTATTTTAATCCATTCATGGTGGAGGGATACATAGTATGCAGGGTGTTGTGAGGCAAAATAGTCCCCAAAGAAAACTTATTATTTCAGATGTTCCACTATTTTCCATCATCAACATTCCATATAAACTCAGAAGACTTGTGTAGGTTCACTGGTGGTTCTGGATAGTAAATAAAATGTCTATATTCGTGTTGTAGTCATGGCGACCCCTGGTTCCTGTCACCACCACTATAAAGACATCTGAACCATTTCACACCAAACCACTCTGAAGGGCATCTCAACCACTTACGTATGCAGAAATTTTGAAAAATTGGTGGAATTCCCCTTTAGAAGAGATTAACTAAAAGACACATGACATAAATATTTGCCCAAACAGCTGCATATTTAATGTAAATATTGTAAATAATGAGGCTGGTGGCGTGGGAAACTCCACACGGTGTTTTGTGTGTATTGTTGTGGCTCCTGACTGTAACGCTGTGCTAATAGTGGAGTGTTTCTAAGGAAGCACAATAGGCCTGTTTGCACAAGTACCCGCAGTGAGGCAGTGATGTACATAACCGAGGCAAAGCCCACACATGCTCCACAGCAACCGTAACTGAGAGGCAGAAACAGAGGCGTTACACCAGAAGAGAGATTTGCAGTCAGGCTGACACATAAAACTGCATTGCATTGCAAAACAATAAGTAAAATAAAGCATTTTATTGCTTTTTGTAAGTATTACTAATGCATTCATTAGACGTTAGGTGTGGAGTGCACTCAAAAGTGCATTAAAAAGATAAAAAAAAGACAAAACCAAGAGAATTATAATGGAGTAATAGAATATAGACTCATATGCTTGATAAAAAATACATGCACAAGGGATCTTATACTAAAATAAACAATTAATGCACTGAACTTTCTTGATTGCAATGTGCAAACCTGTATAAAATACACCACATCGTCTTACAGATGTCAGGATAAAGTAGTAAACAGAAAGACAAGACTATGTTAATGTGGAAGTGTTTTACACATTTAATTCAGGTCAGTTCAATGCACTTTTTGTCAGTGTGGAAAAGCTCTAGAACAGCTAAACTAAGCTGTTGTTGGAGTTTTAACACGTGAAACTGCACCGCACCTGCTTTTTGTATGCAAAACAGTTCAGAACTGTATGTTTTAGCAGGTTTTAATGGGTTTGACGTCACAGAGCAGAAAGTACAGTGGGGTGTCGTGCAGCTTTGTGAGGAAGTTTCTGTCTCGTTTACTCTGACACGGGACATTTTGTATGAAATGTCCCATCAGGGAGTTACTCGGCTGGGCTGGAGCGGACATCCTGGCACAAGAAGTCCAGAAAGCGTAACAACAGAAAATCTGGGCCTTCGTCCACGAGTGCGTTCACAGCCAGAGCTCTGGTGGGGAAACAGTGGACTGACCAGTTTCTCAACTCTCTTCCTCTTTTGGCCAAGACAGAGCGACTCACACACAAACACAAGCACGTTTGTTTTCATACCATGTCAGGACATGGAGTCATTATTGTTTTTCAGTTTTCACATAATCTGAAAATACCTGTTGCCCTTTACATTATGTGTAGATTTCACGTTGAATGGACCAAAAGAAACGACCCGAAATGTCTTGTTCCGTTGACTTACATTAAATACAAATATAACATATATACAATATATATATATATATATATATATATATATATATATATATATATATATATATATTACACATACATTATACATAATACGCATGATTTTATCATGTTTAGGTACTTGCATACGTGTCATGTATGTATTATATGTAGGTAAGTAAGTAGTAAAATGTCCCATATGTATTTTACATGTTACTGTAGCTACAGACGTGTGCAAATGTTTGTGCGCCCCTGGTCAAATTCCATGTTTATGTTGATTTTCTGAGTGTGAATAAGTTACACATCCTCTACAGAGACACTCTACTGCTCTCTACTTTCATAATTTGAGTCAAAACACCAATTAAGTACAAAGTTATTCATTTTTCAAGAGATGTTTCTGAGAAGACTCAGCGCTGTGGGTCTGAAAGGATGTGTAGCTGTTAGGAAGCCTCACTGAGAAAAGGAGACAGAGAGAAAAGAAGAATATTTGCACCAGGACACCAAAACTGGACACCTGAGATGTGGAGTAAGGTTTTATGGACTGATGAGTCTGAATTTGAGATCTTTGGACGCAGCAGAAGGCAGTGTGTGTGTCGCCAAAGCAGTGAAAGACTCTCTGAACCATGTCTACAGCCAGCAGTCAAGCACTGGTAGAGAACACTGGTAGAGAATCAGTGCTAGTTTGCAGAAGTATGACAACATCTGGAGTTGGAATTTTATAATTGAAGGCATCATTAATGCTCATAAGTAAAAAACAATGGACTGACCACCCCAGAGTCCAGCCCTCAACATCACTGAATGTGTTTGATTACTTCAGAAAATGATCAACCAGCTTCTAAGACTGAACTTTGGAGGTGTGTCTGCAGATTCTTTGAGGAACCGAAAGTGAGTCTCCTGAACAGAACGGAAGCTGGAATAAAGGTAGAGAGTGACTCACTGACTCACACAGCTGAGATTAGATTTAGCTGTTAAATGTTTTCTGTCTGTTTGTGAAGCTGAAAATGAATAACTTGTACTTATTAGCTGTTTTCACTGACTTTTGCACAGTTTCTATATACAGTAATCTGTCCCATATGATTTTATAAATGTAATAAAGATTCTTTTAAGTCTTCACCAACTGTCACTGGGTCAGTCCCCCTCTTGTCACTGGGGTGGAACCCTCAAGGGTCCATCTCAGTACCTTTAGTCAGGGAACATAACTGAACCATAATCCACTGAAATGATATGTTCTAAGCTGTACTGACTCCACACACCCCGTCTCGCCTCCAGGCTTTTATTTTACTGTTCTGTTTAAAACATTCGGTTATGAAAAGGTACAAATACGAACTTTTCACCTGGAAAAACTGATTTAAGGTTCACAATCAGACCTTAAAACCACTGTTGGAGCTTTGAGGGAACATTTACACTGTTTGTACTGTGATGAATGAAAAATGTACCTTTATTAATAACAGTGTAGAAAAGTTTTTCTCTGGATTTCTTTCACTGTCAGGATGTTTATGTACAAAGAATGCATGAAAACACACACTCTCACACACACCCTCCTGGCTTCAGTTGGCTCTGAAAGATTACAGATAAACGCTTTCTATTAAATTAGACTAACAGCTTTTAACTGCATGCCAAGAACGCTGAAGTGCACTACATGTCTAAACTTGGCCTGTGCAGTATTTGCATACTGAAAGCGCGCGGTGCCCAACTGCGCTGCTCTTATTCAAAGACAGAGCTGCTCTGAATAACAGAACTATCTCAAAATACTAAAATGAAGCCAAACTTGCAAATTTGTCCCGTCAGGAGCTGCTGGGAAGCCCACACCACAGTCATCTTAGCAGAACTTTGCTTCTCGATTTGCATCTGAAAACAGCAAATTTACACATTTATTGCATAAATCAAGCGTCTAAACGTCCAGCGCTGAACGCTTCTGCTCTGCTTTCGGCGTTTTCTGTGCCAACACAGGCAATTAAACTAACCTCCAGTTAATTAGCAGTAAATCAGAGACTGACTCACATCCTTTGAAGTGAGGTTCTGGCCCGAATTCACTTTCCCACAACATATTTGATCAGCCAAGACATGCTTGGTGTCTTCTTTAGTGTTACTCACTTATTGGTGAACTTGTACTTTCTTGTGGGTCTTCAAATCATACAGAGCATTAATGAGGTAATTATTCTACTTTTCACTCAGTTGGACTTTAGTAATTAACAACTCCTGATTAATTGATTATTTCTGTTGTGATGTTCCCTCGGCTACGGCACTTCTACTGCTTTGCGGCTGATCTCACTTTTGAGGTTTAGCGTTTTAGTTCAGACCAAAAATCAAGAACATCAACAAACTTCAGCTCTTGATGCTGATGTAGGTGCCAGGCCAGGGGTCGGCAACACTCTTTTACTGCACTATTGTGGCTCCACAGCTGAATTAGATCTGTAGGTGAAAATAAAATAATCCTCCTTTACAGTAAAATAAAGCTCTGCTGATCGTTCAACACAGTTTAACAATAAATGGTCTTAAACTCTGGAGTTAATGTAGAACTGCTGATTCACCCTTTAACCCTGAAGATCAGTGCAGACTTCTGGTCACCATAGCAACACAGACAACAGTCTCGCCTAGCTAGTAGCTAACGAAACGGCAAAGAGAGAGATTTAAGATGAACATCGATAATTTGGAGACGAATGGACTTATTAGTGTTTATAATCACTCCAGCTGGTTTCCTGATACGTTTAATCTGCAACGAGAAACTGAAACACTGAAAAGTCATGAAGCTGAAGTTGCTTCTCATTCGCCAGTTTCTCGTTCGAATTGTCCCGTTCCACCTTAAATGGTGCAACAGATTCATTCTGGGGCCTCAGGCACCATT